TTTTGTAAATTCCCGGAAAAAAAAAAAAAAAAAAAAAAAAAACTGTATTGGTGCGGTACACATGCGTACCGAACCAAAAGACCCGTACCGAAACGGTTCGGTACGAATACGTGTACCGTTACACCCCTAGTGGGCGCACAAAATATTGACACTTTGGGCCCAATGTGTCAATATTTACACTTAGGGGTGTACTCACTTTTGTGGCCAGCGGTTTAGACATTAATGGCTGTGTGTTGAGTTATTTTGAGGGGACAGCAAATTTACACTGTTATACAAGCTGTACACTCACTACTTTACATTGTAGCAAAGTGTCATTTCTTCAGTGTTGTCACATGAAAAGATATAAAATATTTACAAAAATGTGAGGGGTGTACTCACTTCTGTGAGATACTGTATATTCATATTTAAATTTATTAAAAAAAAACTAAATCTAAAAATATTACACATCTAAAATATGTTAATATATACATTGAGTTTCTATACATATTTTTTAAATTGAACACAGCTATGCTGGCATACACATATAATACTGTTCAAAAGTCTGGGGTTAAAAGAAGTCTCTTATGCTCACCAAGTATGCATTTATTTCTTTAGAAATACAGTAAAAACAACAATATTGTGAAATATTATTACAGTTTAAAATAACTATTTTGTATTGTAATATATTTTAAAATGTAATTTATTCCTGTGATGCAAAGCTGGATTTTCAGCATCATTACTCCAGTCTTCAGTGTCACATGATCCTTCAGAAATCATTCTAATGTGCTAATTTGATGCTCAAAAAACATTTCTTATTATTATCAATGTTGAAGACAGTTGTGCTGCTTAATATTTTGTGGAAACTGTGATAATTTTTTGATTCATTGATGAATAAAACGTTTATATGCAGAGGCGAACCAAGATGAAGTGGGGGCCCCCGGCAAAATTAATAGATGAGGCCCTTCCAAAAGATTATTTTGTTAATATATATTCGTTACCTAGATATATATTTATACAACAAACAAAAAGTACTTAAAACACATAATAGAACATAAATTGTTTATTTTTTTAAACAAAGTGCTTATTCTTTAACAAAATATCAATCTTCATCTTTATGACAGAAGATACAATACTGTACAATACAATCTTGAAGAAACAGTACAATCTTCATATTTACAGTAACGGATTGTCCCCAAAAAATGGGGCTTATGAGCCTTAGCTACAGCAAATGCTGTCACTATGTCCTCCATATCCAAAGACCTTCGTATTT